TGATGATGAAAACAGAAGCTAACATTCCAAGTATTTCCTCTGGGCCAGGCTGTGTTCTAACTCCACTAAATGCAATATCAACTAAACTCCTCTTCACAGCAATCCTATGAGTAGGTACTAACAATATCCCAGTTTATAGATAAGACACTGACACATAAAGAGGTTAAGAAACCTACCCAAGGACATATCACCAGTCAGTTGTAAAGCCAATTTTTGCACCCAAGCAGGCTGGTTCCAGAGCCTGTACTCTAATCACTAGGGTATACTGCCTCTGTGTGATTCGTTATTGCTATGTATACGATATTCCTGATTCTCTTGTTCAGCATCTGTGGGCAATGAGCTGCTGGGATTGGCTATGCATTTCTTTATAAATACTGAATCTGTCAACATGAAGGGTCTATTATCAAAGATTCCTGAAAAGCAAAAAATCTCTTCTAAAAATATCTTTGTTGAAATTGAATTTTTATGAAACTATATAGCTATAGCTGGGACACACCTAAAATGTGTTAGGATTTGTCATTCCTATGATAAGTAGCTTAGAACCTAATGAAAACCCTTGGTCATTTCAATGTCATATACTGTTAATTATTTCAAAGGTCAAGAATCTTAAAACATTTAATCTTAAAACTACACCTGGGTGATAGAATCAGAAAAGTAAAGTATTTTGAAAATATTTACTTAAACAAAACAAGTAAAAATCTACTAATTAAAAAAACCTTTAAATAAAATGTGTATTTGCCCACATGGTACTTTTTTTTCTACTATATATGAAGTACTTTTTTAAAAGAACATTTTTTTAAATGAACATGTGCACACATTCTATTTTTCAGTGCTAGAGGAGTAGGATAAAGTGATTTGGAATAAAAATTTTATCACTTACTAACTCCTGGGAAACTCTTTGAAGCTAATGTAATGGGCATCGCTGTAAATTAACAACAACAAAAAAAACTCAGACACAGTCCAGTCTTTCAATAATTTAGTGTCTTATAGGGAAGAAAACCAAAACCAGGTATAGGTGTGAGAATTGTTTTAAAAATTTAGTAGGTAGTGCTTCAAAACAAATCTATATAGTAATAAGAAGACCCCTGTCTCAAGCACAGTTGTAATACCAATATCTGATGTGGTGGTGGAATGGCCAGTAAATTCGCTTTCTCTGAGGATTTTATAAGCAAAAATATCAGTGGTTAGTAGCATAGGCTGTGGAGCCAGAATTGTCTGGGTTTACATCTCAATTCTATCACACACCAATTGACTTTGGTGGCTTCACTTAACCTCTCTGTGCCTCAGTTTCCTTATTCACAATTTGATAATTACATATTGTTCACAGAATTACAGTGCTGTTGGGAGGATTAAATGACTTCATGTGAGCAAAGCAGGTAGAACAATACCTGGTACACAGAATGAATCTAACTACATAAATCAAGACAACTTAAAAAGGAGTATCTGATGGAGCACATGTCAGTCTATGTGTACTCAAGCCTTAGTGTACCCACAGTGAAAGACAGATTAAAACATGCCACCAACCTACTATCTCAATCATGGGGCTGAGTCAATCCTTACCTTTGTATAAGCAATGGACCGCCATATCTTAGCGGTCTTTTCCAAACTTGATCAGCAAAAAAGTCCTTAGTGCTCTTACTAAAACACTGTGAAATGATTAATATGTAATTCCATCATTGGAACCACAAAATGCCCCTTTACTTGTCAATAGTATTTATGTGCAATACAAAGTCGCAAACAGGAACACCATTTATTCTGAAAAAAACACACATAGTCAAACTGGGCATGGTTAGCTAATTTTGAAGTTCCCAGTTAATATTTTACTATTCATTTGCTCATTTTACTGTAAGAAGAACAGACATAAGTGATGAAGACTAAAGAAAAACGTAAAACAAAAAGAAAAACATAGAACTGAGAAAATTTTAGCTATTAAATCTCCCCATTGTTATTGTATTTTATTGACAGTATTACAGGTGTCTCCCATTCTCCCCCTTTGCCCCTCTCCAACCTGCTCCCACCCCACCCCACCTTAGACCTTCACCACATTAATGTCTATGTCCATGGGCTATACATATATGTTCTTTGTCTAATCTCTTCCCGACCCCCACCCCCAACCCCCTCCTCTCTGAGACTGTAAGTCTATTCCATGTATCCACACCTCTGGAGCCCGTTCAGGACTTGCTGTCCTGGAATCCAGATGCTATGTCTGTTCATCAAAACCCTTCCTGGTATTGCCCTATTCTATTCCAAGGTATGAGATTTCTTCTCAACCAAGGACCCCAAACATTCTATACAGCAAGAGACCTGTGTGTAGAGTTCATGAGGCAGCGTTGCTGAAAGAACTGAATCATAGAATCTTGGAACTGAAACTTACTTTGGAAATTCCTAATCCACACCTTTCACACCATTTTATAGAAAAAGCATCCCCCAGGAAACCCAAGTCCCCTAGCTGGCTGGCAGCAGAGCTGACGCTGTTTTCCTTTTAATTTGCCATCTACCAGTCTTATGCTTGTTTGTTTAACTACAGTGCACTGCCAAGGAAACAGACTTAACTTTAAAACTGAAAATCAGAAAAAAACAACACCATTTCAGGTCACAACCTTAAATAGTAGCAACGAAAATGAAAACACCAAACTCTGAATAAATATGTACCTAGACAATGGCATTTTTATCTAGATTCAAGCAATCAAAATAAAATAAACCTACAACTGGCTAAATGCTATAGCTTAACAGCAAAGTTATGGGTAGGACACTGTACAATATATTTAGTCATCTTCATTTGTGCTTCATACTTCTCATGCCCCCAAGCCCCGTCTGGGACAGAATTTGTGATAATGTCAGGATTACGAGGGACTCACCATCCATATATTTGTGGTGAGCCATAAGCGTGAGTCCGTATGTAAGAGGGAGAAACAAAGATGGAAAAAGAAAGAGGGTTTATAGAACTATATATCATTTATATATATTGATTTTCCTCTTTCTTCATATGTTGCTTATGAAGCTGCATTCTTACATCAGAAATAGATTCACACATGATATTAAAAGTAAGCAAATAATAAAAACTTTTATTAAAATTCCATAAGCAATTTCAAGTAGGATTGATATGCAAATATTACTATTCTTTATAATAAGTAAATAGCAAATGGAAAATAAGAGGTTTGGGACATAATAAGCAAATTCAAATGCAAAAACAAAACAAGTGGATTTCAATTGCATCCAATTATTTCACTCAATCACCTAAAAATGAAGATCTTCTCAAGAAAATTGCATTGCCTTTCCAACTCCTTGGAGATCCAGTTTAGTTAACAGCCTAACTATGCTTCAGAGATGACCATGTAGCTAACATGTCAAACTAATTTTAAAGTGTCAATCATGTTCCCTTCAATCTAATTAGTTTGGAAAGTAGTGTCACTGACCTGGAACCACGCCGACCCTTTATTATCATATTATTTGATCAACCTAACACTTTACCTCAGTTGAATTTGAGACACCTGTAACCAAAATGTAATATCCTTTCTCCCATACATTACTGGTAACTCTCTGTACAATTTTCTATTTACAACTCAATTTATCTCTATAAATAAGCACGGCCAATTTCACAGAGACATCCGCAGAATTTCCCTTATTTAAGATTTCCTGGCAATTAAAATAGAAATGTAAAGGGAATAACAAAAATATATACATATCAGGTGGAATATTTGAGATTTTTTGAAGCTCAAGAACGGCTGAAAGTGGGAAAGAGGAAGAATGGAATAACAGATATGCCAGGAGAAATCTGGAACCTTCAACGTGGGAGACGACTATTCCTTTTTTAATATAATACAGCAAGCCATGTTTATAAAAAAAAGTCTGTACGTTATAAACCCAATGTCATCACATGGGTTTATGTTATAATAAAGAAAAGGTTTCTCAGGCTTGTAATATTTAACCCGACTTTAATGTGACCAAGTGCAGGATGCGGCCCAGTTGAAGGAGGTAATAACTGGTTCCTGAGAGGAGCTAAAGGCCAGACCACAGTGAGCCTGGAATGGGCTGGGCGGCTGGAGGGTGCTAGTCAGTCCAGCAACAGAGCTCACCTGGCCCTCTCCCTGGCAAGAAAATAAAATTACCAAATCTTTTTCCGGCTTGGTTTTGCATATTTAGGAACTGATTTGCAAGCAGGTGATCTTACCTCTGAACCACAGAATAACATAGTAAGCCAGGAACAGAAAAAAATAATCACATACGTTTGTGTGCCACCACAACGTTGTGTTCATATTTTTACATGTGGTATTAAAAAAGTACAGAGCAGTGGTTCCCAACCTTATTTTGGCCATGCCCCACCTAAGCACCTCTAAAATCCTGATGCCCCCCCGCAACACACACACACACACTGTAACATATAATTCACGTGGAGGAAGCCTAGCAGGCCATTAACTTGGTCTAAACAAGCTTCCAAAGAACATGGAATCCATGAAAGAGAAAAATAAAAGAACAAAAGGACAGTTGAAGTACTGAGGAAGAAATCACTATGCAATTGTTTAAAAAAAATAATAATATGAAGTGATATGAAAAAATAGCAAACAAAGTTTCAAAACATATAATAGAGAACTTAAATACATAAATATGTCACAATATATATTTATATATTGTATATGAGGCCTCTAGAACCATAAGAAATGCAAAAAATTCAGTTAATAACTCATTCTTGAATCGCCCCCCCTTAAAAATCAAATTGCCCCCCTGTGGGGCATGGGCCCCACGTTGGGAACCATTGGTCTAGAAGTTATATTTAAAGTGATGACCATTCCCTCTAGCAGACAATAAGCAGGATGTCAGCTGCCCAGGCTTCCTTTCACAGCCTGTGTTCTCCTTTGGGGACTGAGGCTGCATTTTACCAAAATCCCCATTTGTCTTACAGATAAGCGAGATTCTTCTTGTATGTTTGCTTGAAAAAATAATTATTAGTGAATATGGTTTCATACATAGTCAAGCAAAATATGTATGTATCTCAAACTTACCTTCAGGTGAGGAGCCTGGCTTTTGGGAAAAGACTGCATTCACTTTACTCTTCTTATTGATATCACTATTTACAGACAAGCTGGACTGAATTTTTCTATGCATTTTTTGAGAAACAGGTGCTGAAAGTCTTCGATTATCCACAGACACATGTTTGGCTCCATGGTGAATTCCATTTCCGTTGCTCAGACTTTTGTGGCAGTTCTTTGTCTTGTCTATGTCCTCCTCATTTGGTTCTTGTGCTGAAGTTTGAAGCTGAGGCAAGCGCTGAGGTTGGGCTAAGTCAAAAAGCAGGAAAAGTTTATCAGGTTAAAAAGGAAATTAATATTTTTAAATAATTCAAATACACTCAGTAACAGACTGTTTTAAATTTTATCCATAATATTAAAAATGAAAGCAAAAAGAAAGTAAAATACTAATACATATGGGTATAATAATGATTGGAAAATATCCTATCCTATATAATAAAAGGCTAATCTGCAAATCGACTGAACAGCGAAACAACCGGTCTATATGACGTGCACTGACTACCAGGGGGCAGAAGTTCAATGCAAGAACTGCCCTCTGGTGGGTCAGTGCACTCCCACAGGGGGAGCACCACTCAGCCAGAAGCCGGGCTCACGGCTGGTGAGCACAACGGCGGTGGCAGGAGCCTCTCCCGCCTCCGCGACAGCGCTAAGGATGTCAGACTGACGGCTTAGGCCTGCAGGGAGCGCAGGCTAGGCTGAGGGACACCCCTCACCCCCGAGTGCACAAATTTTGTGCACCAGGCCTCTAGTATAACAGAAATAATAAAGAATAAATGTAGAGAAAATATCCTTACTAAAGGGGAAAATGAAAAAGGGAGTCATCAAAAGTGACTTTATGAAAGGGGCATAAAAACAGAAGGGAAAAATGTTTTGTTTTTAAGAAAATTAAAGTTAGAAATCTGAAAAAACAATTTGACACTCATTCAGAAAAAGTGGATTCTTGACTGGCTTATTTCACTTAGCATAATGCTCTCCAGTTCCATCCATGCTGTTGCAAATGGTAAGAACTCCTTCTTTTTTACCACAGCGTAGTATTCCATTGTGTAGATGTACCACAGTTTTTTAATCCACTCATCTGCTGATGGGCACTTAGGCTGTTTCCAAATCTTAGCTATGGTGAATTGTGAAATAAGCCAGTCAGAGAAAGATAAGTATCACATGATCTCACTCATTTATGGAATATAATGAACAACATAAACTGATGAACAAAAATGGATCCAGAGACAGAGAAACATTGATCAGACCATCAAACCTTAGAGGGAAAGTAGGGGAGGGTGGGGGTAAGGGTGAGAGATCAACCAAAGGATGTGTATGCATGCATATAAGCCTAACCAGTGGACACAGACAACAGCGGGGTGAGGGCATGAGTGGGGGGGATGGGGAGGTAATGGGTCCTACCAGACCGCTGTACCGATTTTTAGGTAATTTCCATACAAAGGTGGAATACTGGCGCTAGATGAAAGGTAGATGAAAGGTAGACCTATTTTCTACAATGTCTCCAAGTTCCATTTTATCCTAACCACTTGTTTGCATGTAACAAACATTTTTCTATATCATGTTGGTTTTTTCTCTTTAATGCTCAGGATCCCAGGTATAGGGGACAGTTAGGTTCAGGGCCTCAGGTCAATAAAGACATTTTTTAAAAAATTGAATTCTTTTCTATGTACCAGGTCTTTTTTCTGATGCCAAAGACACAGAAGTATTATCTCGCTATCCCTGATAATGGTTAACTACTCCATTATCTTTTGAAATAAAAGGAAAAGAACAATGGATTCGGGTATGAAAGCTGGACAGTATAGAGAAATACTGTGGGGTGCAGCGTTCGATGTTTGATGCCCACTTCCCAGCAGACCATGGGGCCAACAGTGCAGCAGTGAGGTTTTCATTAGAGAAGCCCCTATGAACATACAGGCATAACCCTTAGCTGGGTAACTCTTGGGAGGATCTCTGTGCTGACAATAGATTTTTCATTTAAATTAGCCAAAATGGATTCTGGGTATTGAAGCTTAGAGCTCTGATCTCCCAAAAAAAGCTGTTTACACTGGTTAAATAATGAGATTATTTACTAATATTCTTAAGCAATGCTATCAATGAAAGCATTTCTTCAGTTAAAAACAACAGCAACAGCAAAAACATTCATTGTCAAAATTTACTTTTATAATTTCCTGGAATTTCAGATTCTAAAACTGCTGTTATAATTAGTCTTTTTAACTTATGATTATGAACAGTTAAAAAATATAAATTAAGTCTGAATACTAAGAACTCTTCAACTTAGAAAACATAATGTATGAAAGCCACAACAGTTATACTGGTACATGGCATTGATCATGTCTAAAAGGGACTGATTATCTGTGATCTAGGGACTAGCTAAGACTTGGTATATATTTTTGACAAAGAGGACAGTTTGCATTTGATTAGGGCTTTAGCACACATTGTTTACTTCTGTCCTTGTTCAATATCAAAATATTCTATTTATGTACCACATGATCTCACTCATTCATGGATAATAAAGACCATTATAAACTTATGAACAAAAATAGATACAGAGGCAGAGCTGCCTCAAACAGACTGTCAAACTGCAGCGGGAAGGCCGGGGAGGGTAGGGGGGCAGAAGAGGGAGGTAAGAGATCAACCGAAGGTCTTGTATGCATGCATATAAGCATAACCAATGGACATAAGACACCGGGGGGTAGGGGAGGCCAGGGGATTGTCAAGGGTGGGGGGGAAAAGGAGACATATGTAATACCCTTTGTAATACTTTAAGCAATAAAAAATAAATAAATAAATAAATAAATAAAATATTCTATTTATGAATGTACAGATTTCAAGAAAAAGACAAATTTCTTTTACTTAATAAGCATGGTTTCACATCAAGTCTATTAACATTAATACCTGATTTATAAAACTAATATATGAATCCCTCTTAGCATTTTTCAGTGATTTAGTAAAGAACAAAGGAAAATAATTGTCAAAAATTAAATATTTGTGAATATTACAAATTAATAGTTGTAAAATATATCAAATTTTTTTTTCTCCTAACTTCTGATGAAAAGAGGAAGAGGTTACTTCTCTACGTAAAAGCTCTACACACCCTTCTTCTAACTAAAATTGGCAGTCCAGGCATCTGCAAAAGGAAAGCTATTTCTTATGGGTGAATAACCATTTGATCTAGAGATTAATTTGCTGCTCCTGTAACTCCTTGTATCAAGGAGAATGACATCCTAATGACTGCTATTGAACATACAGCTAGTTATACATATTTATTTAAAGGGATGCCAAAGAAGACAGTTAAAGAGAGTTAAAACTAATTTGGTGTTCTTTTTAGAGCACTTTCCAGTAATCTCGCCAATAAATGGAATGTGTTGGGCCACTTTTTCTCTGAAAATAACTCAAGCAATCTGAGAGCTCAGTTAAGTTGAAATGTCATTGACCAATGCTGGGGAGACTTCTTATCAATCAAAAATGTACTGTCATATTCCATAATCTAACATGAATTTAAAATCACTATGTACTGGTAACAGTTAAACATTCTCAATAATTAAAAATAAAGATGGTAAAAGAGAACTATATCTTGCCACCAAATTCTAAAATTGACAGATCCTGTCTTTTTCTATGAAAACTGACTATATGCAACTTACTGGATATGGCTGGAGTGATATTCTAACACATCCTTAATGATTTGCCTACATTTCAGTTTTCAATGATACCTATTTCGGTTGGCAGACAAAGGATAGCACGTTAATTTTTGTTTCACTGTCACCTAATTATTTTTACTATAGTTTGTATTATGATCTAGTAACCAAGTATTATTTCTTCATTTTAATTTTTTCACATTAAAACTTTCTTAGTTTTATGATTTTGTCAGATGCATGTACTATATAAGTCAGATTAAAACTGGATAAATCCTAGATATAGTAGATATCTCAACAGACATTTATTTCCACTTCCATTGATCATTTTTCACGGATGTCATTTGAATCTTACAGTAAAATTCACCTGAAAGTCAGAAACATGATTTTATTCTTGGATAAAGAACAAAAACATCTGATTAAAAAAAAAACATAACTACTTGGCTTTAGACAGATTTCTTTTTCTTATTGTGTAAAAGTTGTGTATGGCTTTAAAAAAAAAGCAACATGCTAATATGGGAACGACAACACAATGCCTCTTAAAACACTAGTGATGCCTAGGGACCCTCGCTCTCCCTTTAACGATCCACTGCTCTCATTCAGCTGTCTTTCTTTTTTCAAATCTTTACATATGTGACAGCTCTCAAAAGTAGACCATAGACCATCTGGCATTGTCAGAGGTGTAACTTGTGCAAATTCAGCTCTATTGGGAGCGCACTGCTATCTTCTGCCTGCGTTATAAAGGGACAATAGAATGTAGAACTTAAGATTTGTTTTGAATTATTCATTTTTAGCCTGTATATTCAAGAAATTTTACAAACTCTGCATTTTGTACTACATAATCGCATGCGTTAAAGGTACAAAGAAACTTTTTGACACCTTTTTTCTACAGAAAGCTGGCATTTTGTTTGATATGTGAACATTCGGGCATCTGTTATATCATTCTAAACAGGCTGGAGGCTTCTACAAAAGACCCCATTTTAAACTTACTCTATATGGGCAAAAAAATGTATTCTTGATATTCAGTAACAAATGCAAAACACATCAAAAATTTAAATACCAGTTATATGAACATTCAGCATCTTCAAACCTTGATAGCATTGGTAACCCGATTATCATATGTATTGTAAAGAATTTTTTTAAATCATTGCTCATACAATGCAGCATGATTGTAAGTTTAAGATCCATAATGAATAGTTACAAATGTCTTAAGAAACCCTGTGCTTTCTAGGTTCAAATGTTTTCAATCAGGAAGGAAGCCAATAGAATTAGATCTACTGATTTTCAATAATAATAATAAATATGGGAGTAATGAGTCAATAGCATGAAATTCTTTTGATCATTTTTTTTAAATGTGTGATATTGTAGCTTAGTAATAACTATACTTGGAACTGTGCCTATTGGAGAAGCAACAAAAGCAACATTTTTCCATGGCATATAATCTATTACCATGTGCAAATCACCTGCAGTTGCTGGTCTCTTTACATAAAATTTAATAAAACTACAAAGAATTATGCCATTTATTTCAAAAGGTCGTTGTACAAAAAAAGTCAAAATTAAAACCTTAGAATTTAAAATCGTCAGGAACAAAATGATCTAAATAGAATATTTGGGGGAAGG